ACTTGATGTTCCTCATAAATAATACCCTTCATACTGCGGCAACCCAGTGGATGGAACGAACGTTGGACGATTCAGCGAATCGCCGGCTAGTTCTGGCAGAAGCTTTTCTATCAGCTGATTCAATTCTAATGACTCTTCAGAACATCACAGAGGGATTGGTTGTTTATCCCAAAGTCATCACTAGACATGTTTTGCAGGAACTGCCCTTCATGTCCACGGAAAATATAATCATGGCTATGGTGAAAGCTGGCGGTGATAGACAGGTACACGATGCTCTTAATGTCTTTTCAAAATAATTTGTTTTTTAATGAAGATATTTAGAAATAAAATTAATTATAAGTAATTGATTTGATCAATTTTAATCAGAGCATGAAATCTCGATCTTTTTAGATTAATAATAATTCTTAATCATTTCTTTGTAACTCTCTATGTAACTTTAATAGTTCAAATAAAGAAATTAGCAGTAGTTAGTATAGTTTAAATTTAATATTATTAATAAATTACATATATATATATATATATATATATATATATATATATATATATATATATATATATATATATATATATATCGTTTGTATAATTGCCTTAGGTTTGCCATGAAAAGATCCGCGTACTGGCACAACAAGCCGGAGCACAAGTGAAGCAACATGGCTTGGATAATGATTTGGTTGAAAGAATAATGAATGATTCGTACTTTACGCCAATCTTATCGCAACTGGATGATTTGTTAGAACCATCTACTTTTATTGGTAGAGCGCCCGAGCAGGTGGACGAATTCCTTGAAGAAGAAGTATATCCTTTACTTAAACATTATGAAGGATTGGAAAGTGGAAAAGTAGAACTCAATATTTGATGATATAAAAATCTCTCTTTGTTCTCTTCCAAAGAAGCCTATGATATCAAGTTTTTATTATTCAGAATTAAGAATGCGAGTGGCTTTCAGCCGAAACTTTGTTATAGATAAAAAATATGTGTATACAACTTTATTCATCGCGTTAACGTTTCTTACATTGATAAATTTAGTAAAAAACAGAAAAATAATTCGCACTGTTCGTATAGTTTCGCGCACGCGCACATTCTCCGTTGTTATCTGGTCGATCGCTATTTTTTTTGCTTCATTGCCACAATTTCCTTTTCTTTTTCCTCTTTTTCTTCCTTTTCTCTCTTCTCTCTTTTTCATTTTCTGCCAATTCTACAAGTCTTCTCTCTGACATAACTGTTGTGATAGCAGGCGAACATAACATTAGCATTATAGAATGAAAGAGATAGATAAATAGGTATACAGATGGATAGATAAACAGATAGATTAATAGAATGATGGATACAGACAGAAACATGAAGATGAAAAGAGAGAAGAATAGCCAAGCAATATAAATGGACTAGATTGAACATAGAAATGGAAATAAAAGAAAAAGTTATATAAAAGTAATAAAAGAAAAAAGATATGACGAGAAACAGAAGAAAAAGAAGTAGAAGAAATTCAGATTTGATGCATCAGCTAGAAGAAAGACTAAAAAAAGATAAAGAAATATGAAAGACCAATATAAAAAGAAAAGAATAATAAAGATAATGAAATTAAGCATAATGAAGGTAAAAATTGTTAATAAAGGCAACGATATGTAAAGAATTAAAAGGAAATAAAAAGAGAAAAGTAAACCAAAACATGATAGAAGAATGATAAAGCCAGATAACAAAAATTTTTTAAAGCTAATAAAAGTATAATGTATAAAAATGAAAAAGATAAAGCTTATAATAAAAGAAAAACTTAAAAAGTTAAAACTCAAAAAGTCTAATAAGAAGATAGAAATCTTTAAATGAAGAAAGCGTTAAAGAGATAGAAAAGAGGCAAAGATAGATTGATCAAGAAAGATGAAAAGTATAAAGATCTAATTAAGTTGACATAATAATTAAGAAAAAGACAGAAGAAAAAACATGAGAAATAATAAACATCAGAAAGTTTTAGAAATGTAATTAAAGAGATATAGAAAAAAAAGGAATAAATGCTGAAGAGAGAAAGTTGATTTTTAATTGCGTTATTATAGCAAAGAAAATAAGGAAGCAATAAAGTAATCGAGAAAAACAAATCGAGACGAGGGGAAAGTTAATATAAATAAAAAATGCTAGAAAGACCGGAAGAACACAAAGCGAAAGCTGAAAACCGAGGAAGTTTGTGTTGACTTATGGAATAATTGGATATTTTCTTTCCACCTAAAGAAATTATAAAATCAATGATTTTGATCATTTTAAACAAATAGGCGAAGAAAATAGCTATCACAGAATGTTAAGTTCATTGAGAAGTTTTAGAACTACGAATTAGGAACTCTAGTTTAGCACATAAGAAAATTCTTGTTTGTAGAAAAAAAAAACTTGGATTTTGCAAAAGCGTTTTCTTTTTTCTTTTTTTTTTTAAGTGCTTTTAAATGCATTTAACAATTTATTAATTTAAGAACACGGCATTATATTTTTTTTATAAACTCAATGGAATAATATCTGAAGATTTTAAAATGTGTTACTATAATTGACCATTCAGAATTTTATTACAAATATCATTTTTTACTCAAATTAAATTTTTTAAAAGATTAAATTTTATCTGATTTAACACACCTTATTTATATTAAAAATTATATATAAAAATTTTTAATTAAACATTTCAATTTTGATATATCAAGAATTTTTTTAGGTTTAGTTTTAATTTATAAATTTAGTTTTGATTTTGTGTCTATTGTTTCCTAATGATAGATATTTTAAACTTGTTCAAGATTCTTGTTTAATGATCTAGCTTATCTTTTATAAACACGGTGGCCCGTGAAGCTGGCTCCATCGGTGATTTTTCCCGATTCAACGAAGACGGCAAGTTGATCACCGGCTTCGACATCCAATAAGATGAGATTACTCCCTCCGCCTGGGCCAGCACTGATGATTGTTCTCCAACTGTCGGACTTATTTAGTTTGCGTTTCAGTGTCAGCCGCAGATCCGTGCTACCGTATCCGGCGAAGCTGAATTGATAGAGGCCTGGACAATGCGTGGTAAAGATCCCTGTTTCTGCCGCGTAACCAACTCCTTTATCCACTAGTGTTTCAGCGAGAACAAGCTTAGCTTCCTGTACAGATTTATTACACACACACACATATATATATATATATATATGTATATATATATATACACTATTTAGTTTTTAAATATATACAGAAATTATTAAAAATTTTAAAACTAGTTTTTATTTAAAAATTGTGAATGAGGAACTAGATCTATTTATTCTCTTTATCATAAAATTCTTCTACTCTTGTTCGATGAAAATTGATATTTATTTCGTTATTTCTTAAATTAATTTAATTAAATTAAAAAAATTTTTTTTTGACATGTATATTTCTATTTATTTTATTTTAATTCAAGATTATTTGATTGTTAACTCACATTCACCGATCCTTGGATAGCAGAGAAAGCGACAAGGCCGGCGCAATCGGCGGCAGTTGCCAATTTTTTGGAGCCGATCGTGGTGATGCCAGATCTTTCCGGTGGATCTGGTACCGCTGCATCGGTCAACGCGGCCACTGCCAATATCAGCACCACCCACACCACCCTATTTATATAAATATTTATATTAATCGGCAAAG